AAAAGGAACATTCGTAATTGGGTGCAAAACTTTCTGAACAACTTATGCTAAAAGAAGTTTCCTAATTTTTCTTGAATAGCTGCAAGTGAACGACCCTCAGGTCAAGGACTTTGTGGAGGAACTTATTAGCTACCTCAAAAATCGATTGGGGGAAATGGACCAGGTAATATGTCGTTTTTACTTCACTATGGTAGTTTGTGCAATCGATTTTCTAATGTAACACCAAACATAATTGCCGTATTAGTTTTAGCTCCAATTTTATCTTTCAAATAAACCCGGAAATGGATCCTTTTGAGAGGTGGTAAGTTATCAGCGCACTAGCGCTGATAACTAATCTGTTAAAGCGTCTGGACTCGATTGAATCGTCACAGCAATTGATCAGCGATAAATACAATTCTGTTTTGAAGTCAATGCAGTCGATCAAGAAACAGATAAATGATCTTAACAACTGGTGCGAAGCCGAAGATAACAAAATCAACCATCTTAATGGCTTAGTCTACGATGCTGAAGCAGCCATAGACTCCATCCAACAGTACCCGACGAGAGACTGCCTTGAAATTTCAGGAATCTCAATATTGTCTTTGGATTCTCAAGCAAATCTAACACAAGAAATGGACCAGCTCATCGGTGTAACAATCACAAGCAAGACATTTCGATCGCCCACCAATTGCCCCATACTAAGGGTAAGACGGACAGATTTATTGTCAAATTCGTCCGTAGAGAAAAGCAAGTCGAATTCTACAAGTCACGCGAGCACCTCGGTGGGAAAAAAGCAAGCGTGCTTCCATCCGTGGCTTGTGAGATGCGGAAAAGCATCCACCAAGACTGCTATGTACATTAATGAATCCTTAAGCCAGTATCATAGTGAACTCTTTGGAAGGGTAGACAAATTCAAGAAAGACAACAAGTACGAATTCCTATAGATGAATAATGGTAAGATCTATCTACGTAAACATGAGACCTCACAGACATTTACATTTACAACATTTGAAGAATTCGAAGACTTCATTGCTACATCACAATGAAACTTTCATATCTGGTTTGTCCTCCTTGTAAACAACTTAGTAGTTATTTAATAATGGCTTCTTAAAATGTTTGAATACCCCCATTTGATGATTTAGATGAAAGAGAATTTAGATTTGTACTTGGATCTGGTAATGTCAATGACTTCATCGACTCTGGTGTTGATTTGTGCAAAATCAATTAAAGACGATGATGACTCAGTAATAAGAGTTGGTTCTGTTATAAGCTGCTGTAGCCCATATATATCAGAAATTTCACAAAGTAAACGTGTACTAAAGTCGAAATGGGCAGAGGCCATATTGCAATTCAAGTCACCCATCAGATAATATTCAAGATCGAGAGAGTCTAATTTTCCGATAAGGATCTCATATTTCAGGACTTAAGAACTGCTGTAAAAGACTTATGCACCAAATCGAATTATAATATTATCAAACCTTTTTTTCTGTTTTTTAAAAGGCACTGTTATCCTTCTATTAGATAATTATTGATTTAATAATTTTATCAATTAATGAGGGCACCAGTGCAATGCGTGTTCATTTTCACACCACAAACGGCAACAAAAAATCGCAGACAGCAACCAGAAGGCGGATGTCATGAAGGGACAGTGAAAGAGAAACAGAAAAAACATGGCAAGTACATTTTCTTAAAAGGCAAATAAATTACTTTTTTTATTTTCTATAATCTCTTGTGGAAAAATTGGAACAAGAAAGGAATAGTGTGCTTCATTCACAAATGCAGAATCGACTGAGAGAGGCATTTCTGCTTTCTATTTCAACACCTGTTGCAAAAAATATATATATTATTTTATACATACTTCATAGAAGAGTTAGTGGGAATAATATACAGGAAGAATGCTTTTAGCATTACATCATGTTCTGCAACTCAATCATGTTTATGCTCGGTATGAGTAGTGCATGTATGTTTATTAACTTTGGGTTACTTGCTGGCTCCTGGCTAAGTCTTGTTCTTTATTTTTCTTTCAGAACAAAAATAAAGGGCCCAAGCTCTGAGGGAGTCCACCAGCATCAGCCAGTCAAACAAGGACAAGTACCTTGCATGTATGTCCATTCCGTATACGTCCTAAGAGGAGTCTTTGTCTGAACCTGAATCAGGAAGACATGACGGCAATTCCTCAGGTTCAGATGAGGACCTCCCAAACAGGAAAAAAATCTGTGTGAGACCACTTCTCTGGCGAAGCACAGAGGTGAATGGGTTAATGGGTCGGTTGGACCGCAAAGTCACCTGATGTCGAAGCCAACGGAGTGCGAGTATGGTTATAGAACGCACAGTGAGACCAGAATCAAACTGAGAAGCACCAGATGATGCTCCCGAGTTTGCTCTGGCACCCACCACTTAGAAAAAGGAACTAAATCATACACATACAGATATTTTTGCTATTAAGCTGATTTTTAAGCGTTTCGGCCCTAGGAAAGTCTCCATGAAAAAAGAACAAAAAAGAAATTTTATTTGAAGAACATTTAGAAAAGAAGACATTTTAGATATTTACAAAATAACAATAACACACAAGTAAAAGTTGACAAGCATCATGATAAGGTTCCTTTTTAGTAAAGTTTCTCTAATCATGTTACTTGATAGACATTCCACAATTTTTTTCATTTCAATAGAGGAATAAGTAAACATCCTTTGACACTCAAGGGAAGGAGCCATGTTAAAACTAGATAAATTACCATTTTAAAAGTGATTTGTCACAATCCAATGAAGACCAAATGACCAAATGACAGCAGCCAATAAGTCAAAGAAACAGAAGAGGTGGTACCTTTGCATTTTCCTGAAGATGGTCCTTCTAAGCATTTTCAATGCTGACATTCTCGAGGGGTTCAAGCGCCCACAAACTCCAAGAGGAAGAAGGAAAAGGGATCTGTTGTCTTTCAAGGAAGACCTTTGTGTGCAGTTGGTTGGCAACTTCCCACAGCAACACAAATCAACTGCCTCTAACAACAGAAAGAGGAGTGCGGACACACCAGTGCCTGAACGTCTCAGTAATGTTGGAATCCATTTTCCCTTCGAAGGGGAGGGCAAGAATTATGGTTGTGTGGTCTGTGAAAGAAAGCACTTCTCTTCAAAGAAAGCAACTCCTGACAACCCCTCTCCAAGACACAAGACAACTTTCAAGTGCAGCCAGTGCAATGTTTACTTGTGCATTGGAGAAGGAGGATCAAATTGCTACTATGACTACCATACTAAAGAAAACTTTGCTAGCTAGGGACAATAAATGATAGGCACTACATCAGTAACTCAATAGAAGAACAGCTTTTATTTCAGAATTCATTTGTTACAGAGACAAAAACTATTTCTAAGTGCTAGTAAGAACTCACAAATCAATGGGTAAATTTAACGCTTTTCTACTCAAAACATGTTGCGCAATGACAACATGACTATTTTGCAAATGAAGTCGGGTGAGTTTTAGTGTAAAAATATGACTTTTGTTGTAAGATAAATTGCTTTTTTCATCTAAGGTTGTCCTATGAAAAGCATTTTTTTGTCCTCTAAAAGATCACCTGTGTAACACACATTATTTATTTGACATTTGTTTTTCAGAAGGTAAGAGGCACGATTCAGGCATGTTGGCTGATTCCGGGCTTCTTCGGGATCTAGAGGCTTACGCGTTTTCAGCAGCAGGCTTACCAATGTGCATATATGGAGATCCAGCCTATCCACTTAGAGTCCACCTGCAAGACTCTTTCCGGAACCCTCATCTCATTCCTTTAACGGAAGCATTCAATGCTTCCATGAGCTCTGTAAGGATTTCAGTGGAGTGGCTCTTTGGAGATGTTATAAACTATGTCAAGTTTTTGGATTTTAAGAAGAATTTAAAAATTGGCATGAGCAGCATTGGCAAGATGTATATTGTCTGTGCAGTACTGCACAATGCCCGCACCTGTCTCTATGGCAATAAGACCTCATCATTTTTCGAGCTTGAGCCCCCCACCCTCGAGGAATACTTTGCTTAGAGGTAGAGAGAAATAGGGCCCTTTATAAGACAGCTTCAAATTTGCCTGACTGTTCCTGTGATTACCCTTGACCAGTTATAATCCTAATGTTAGAAAGAAAGAAAAGAAGTAGCTTCCTTGGAATCACATTAAGAATAAGTAAGAATGGAAAGGGGGATTTAAATGTTGTTAAAAAGAGCACTAAAAGCTCTATTATGACCCTCTTCAGTTGTCACAGCGTATGAGAAGTAACATTTCTTTGAAAATTGGAAAAAATTAAAATAAAAACCACCTGCAAATAATCAGTAATCACGTACATTAATTCAATGAAAAAGCTTAAACAGAGAAAAACAATGATGTCATAAATCCCCTTAACATCTCCCCTCTCAATTAAGTCCCCCCTCAAAAATAAGCCCCCTCCTTTTTAGGGAAAGAAAGTTATAAAGTCTACCCTCTTTTCTTAGCCCTCCTCACTCCCCCCAAAAGTGAATGGAAAAGATAAGACCCCCCAGGAGAGGCTTAATAGTTGATTATTTACAGTCTGTGTTAATATTACAAACTGTGATATAACCTTCCCTATGGGAGCAAGAGCTATTAAACAAGACATATGCAAACACTTTAATATCAACAAACTTCTCCTGAAGTTGAGTAGGAATACAGTATTACATCCTTTTAAAATAGAAATCAACAAACAACAAACTAATGTGAACCGATATATGAACTGTTCTAATTTTTCTGCTTTTCCACCATTTTTTCCATCAGAGAAAGTAAAACTTGATTCATTTGTTGTTGCAGCTGCACCAGCACCAGTGTCTGGCTTTGCTGGTCTTTCCTAAGCTAAGTTCTTCCTCTCTGAGAGAATGGTCTAACTTTGCTTTTCCTCTGAGAAACTCCACAGCTTCGTTACTACTCTTTCTCTTTTTATTTTTCACTTCCACCTTCCCATCTGCCCGACATCTTTTGCTACTTTCTCCCAAACGTTCCATGGCCTTTTTTCGAACTTGTTCTGCAGCCTTCTTTTCTTTTTCAACCTTTTTTCTTGTCTTTGCCACCAGTGCTAACAGCAGAATCTTCTTTCCCAATAAGCTCTTCAATTATGGTGTCAATTTCATTCACCTCCACATCAATGCCGGATGCTTTGATTTCGTTTGTCATTTTTTTCTGGTATTTCCCACGCAACAGAGTCCAGCGGTCTCTACATGACCTCTTGAGGACCTTAAATTTTGGGTATTCCACAGCATTGAGGTTTGCAGCGATGGAGTCCCAAACTTGACCTCTTTCTGGTGTCCCCTTTTTATACTGGAACACCTCACTAACAGACATTTTATCTAGAAGGGCTCTGTCATGTTGTGGGGTCCACTCCATAATCAATCTAGGCCAACAAACAATGAGTAACAGACAAGACAAATAAGTTAGCGGTGGAGAACAGATCTGCCTGCCTCATTCCTATCTTTCTAGTTACAGAAAAAATGAAACTCTGGCAAACAAGCGTTCAAAAGGTTCCCAAAATGTTCTAAAAAAAATTAACATGCAAGCTAAATTCCTAGTTTCAGGGTGTAAAGAAAATGACCCTGTTACGTTTTGGTTTACAGGATAGACTAAATCAAATTCTTTCAAATTCTGTAAAAGAGGGAGCACTGTTCAAAAAGAAAAAGGTTTAAAAAATTGAATTCGAAGTATCCGCTGGTGATGAGAGGCTTTTACTGAGCAAACTTGGCCAGACAGAATTTGGCAAGACACTAGGAATTAACTCAGTTTCCAAGGATATTTCGTTTGGGAGCTTTTCTACCAGTCTACCAGAAACAAGTGCTAAAGAACTAAAAAGAAAGAAATTCTAAGTTTGGTATTGAAATAATTCCCGGGAAATACTTGCGTGCAAGTTATCGCGAAGGGGAGGTTGAGAGCTAATGTTCAGTCTTGGAAAAGCATTGATGCTTCACATTTTGTTCTTAGCGTTATTAGGGAAGGGTATAAAATCCCCTTCTACTATACTCCTACGTCAGTTTTTCTTCCGAATAATAAGTCTGCTCTGCATAATGCCGATTTCGTTCTAGGCACTGTCACTGAACTTCTTAAGGTCGGTTCGGTCGTGCAGTGTCCTTGTCTGCCAGTAGTTGTGAATCCACTTTCTGTTTCTATTCAACCTAACGGGAAGAAAAAGCTCATATTGGACCTAAGACACGTTAACTTTTTTGTTAAGAAATCCAAGATGAAGTTTGAGGATGCTAAGTCCTTTTTGGAGTGTCTGGTAGTCTCACCTTGCGCATGGGCTTGTTGATTTGATATTAAGTCGGGCTATCATCATATTGAGATATTTGAATCTGATCAACAATTTTTGGGTTTCTCGTGGGTGTTTGATGGCGTCACTAAATATTTCAAGTTTACAGTTTTACCGTTTGGACTCTCTGTGGGACCATATATTTTTTCCAAAGTTATGAGACCTTTAGTTAAATACTGGCGTACAAGGCCATTAGAATTGTTGTTTATCTCGACGATGGTATTTCTGCGGCCACAAATTTTTCCAAATGCCAAGGGAATTCTTTGCTTGTCAGGTCAGATCTTTTCAAGTCTGGCTTTGTTGCCAACAAAGGTAAGTGTCAGTGGTTTCCCCTTCCGGTCATTTGTTGGCTGGGTATTTTTTGGGATTTCAAAAACAACCGTATGTTTATACCACCGGAGAAGATTTCAGGGATCCTCGAAGAAGTTGTTGAAATTATGTCCTGTTGTAGCATTTCTGCAAGGAAACTTGCTCGTGTTACAGGGAGAATTATATCCAATTTTTTGATCATG